GGAATTATATTACCAGCAGTTACGTTGATGTAACTGATTGAATGAAAGAATGGATTGTTCTGAAAAATACTAGATTGTTAACACTGGAAGGTCATGATTTACAATTGGGGTGGCATGCATTTTTATGGTATAAGGAAAGCTAAGTACATGGGTATTTTAGGAAACATTATATTTGAGACACTTTATTGTCAATATGGGAGAAAATAAGGAAACAACACTATATGGTTATCAACAATAGAGGCATTTGCCTATCCAATTGTTTTTAAAATGGAACAGATAGTTAGATATAGTGAAATTTTAAATGAAAAGGGTGATCTCAAAATAAAGCAAGAATTAGATGAACAAGGGATAAATATGAATTGGTATTCTTATATGCAAATACATTCTAGATATGATAAAGATAGTAAGATAGAAGGGTTTATAAAGAACCTTCTGAATTAGATAAAATCTTAACAGGTACTGAAGAGAGGATGATCAAAAAATTATATGGTTATTTACTAGGAGTGAAAATTGAAGAAGAACAAGTTAAATAAGTGATGATTGCATGGGGGGGAGGGGGGGAGGAATATTGGATAGCTTTAGAAAAATAGCAGAAATTATGGACCAGAAACTATAATTTAACAATATCAACAGCTTATAAAGAGAATTTGTATAAGATGTTTTATAGGTTGCACCTACCCCCAGCAAGAATAGCAAAGATGTTCAAGAATAAATCAGCGAAGTGTTGGAAATGTCATCAGATACCTGGATCATATTACCATATGTGGTGGACATGTGCGGAATCTAAAAGATATTGGACTGAAATACACACATGGTTGGAAAAAATGACAAAACAGCATATAGATTTAAAACCAGATATATTTTTATTGGGAATTTTACCTGAAGGTTACAATAAAGAATTGACATATCTGATTATTAATGTTTTAACTGCAGCTAGAATTGTATTTGCTCAAAATTGGAAAAATTAGAAAATTCTGATAGAGGAGGAAGTGATTAAGAAAATAATGAAATGTGCAGAAATGAGTAGGTTAACATGAGCAATTAGAGAGCAAGAAGAAAAAGAGTACTATAAGATATGGGATTTATTTTATCAATGGTTAGACAGAAAACTAGGAAATTGAAGAATAACAATAGAAATGATACGTTACAATTGATTATTTCTGAATAAGTTATGTTATAATAAAAACTAGTAAGAACTGAGATTTGCTCTTAAGGCTAACATGGAATTGAAACTAAAAGATTAATGATGGCATAACAATAATAATACTACAATATAATATGAAAAGTTAATACAATATGAATGTAAGCTTAAGAGGAAAAGTTTATAATGTGTACAAGATGTATATACTAAACCAACACACTGTATAACTGAAAGAAGGTTTTATTTGTTGTTTTGTATGTTTGTTGTAAAAAATAAAAAACTTTTTATAAAAAAGGGGGGGAGGGCCTTCAGCAGCTTACATAGTTTTCTACACAGATTGTGTCATTCAACTTAGCAGATTCAGGACTTGCTTGAAAGGAGACCAAGGGGGAAGCTGCTTGCAATTTATTGGATATCACTAAAAGATATTGCATTTAAAGTTATGAGAAATGTGCATAGTACTTCAAATATTTTGAAATAAACATAGAGAATGATCTTTCAACAGAATGTATATGTTCTTCTAATACTGTTAATACATTTCACATGGTAGCTTTGTAACAACTCCCAACTGTTCACTAATATTCAGAACTCAGAACTTACGCCAAGAGCTAGGCTAAAATATTCCTCCCTCTTTCCCCACTCTGCTAAAGTGTGAGTGTGAGTGTGTGTGTATTTATCTTCCCATTGTGAGGAGAAAAAAAATCCTAATAGGTTTGAGAAATGTGGACAATTACTGCCAGTTTGTATCTGAATTTGGTAAACACTGTCTCTAGCTAGAATAATTTCTTGAAATTACTGAGCATAGAATTTGGACATGTGGAGAAAAGGATGGGAGGGGCAAAGATGAAAATAACCTTGTTGCTGTTAACTTTGGAGTGTGACTGACTGAAGTGCATTAGTCGTTCTTCCCTGAGGCGATACAGGTGCGCAGAGTTATTTTTCTTTAATCACTCACATAAATTAACATTTATTCTTTTGCATTAAAATAATTAAATAAAACTACACCCTATATCTTTTATTATCAGATAATATCTTTGAACCTCTGGCTGACAACCTTGCTGTTGGCCACAAGGTATTTTCCAGGGTGTGTATTACCCACTTTTGTATTAAATAATGTTCTAGGTGGAAAACAAACAAACAAAATAAAAAACCTGATAGCAATCAGAATCTATGCAAAGTTATAATAATAATAATGCCCAGTAGCAAGTCATGTTTTCCAGACACTTTTCCTGGGTTTGTCCTCCCTTCCCATCTTATCACTTTCATCAGGGTGAACAAAATAGATACTGTATGTGGGTGAGCTGTTAGAGAGCCCGTTTGGTCTAGTAATTAAGGCACCAGGCCAGAAACCAGGAGTCTGTGAGTTCAAGTCCTACCTTAGCTGGCTGGGTGACTTTGGATCAGTCACTGTCTCTTAGCTTATAACATCAGGCTTGAGTGACAAGCCGCTTGCTTGGTCAATTCCTGTTGCAATCACTGGATCAACACTTGATTGATCTGATAAAGTGGACCATATATGGGTCAGGAAGGCTGAAATAGAGATGCAGAGGCAGTTATTCATACTATAGAAAGGAAAGAATATAGTAGTATTTTCTTGTGCTATTTTCTTTGAAAGTTTATCCTCAACGGCACTCATTACATTTAAAGTAATGTAAAATGGAATGCTTCTGGAATGCATTTTCTAATAACTTGAAATAATAAGACTTGTTTTTTCATGACACTGTTTATGGAGTATAGTCCTACATGTTGCTATTGTACTTAATTATAAGGAAACATCAGTGCAAATTGTTTGTCGAATTTGGGTATTTCCTGATGAAGCTGTATTATTCTGTCTCTTTATTGAATTCTGCAGATCCAGATATTTCACAATTTCTCATTAGTAACCCACTTTTATTTCATCTATCCAAAGAAATAAAACCAAAAAAAATGAAAATTGCCAAGAAAATAAAAGCAGCTGCAGAGGTCTTTTTAATGAATAATCCTAGTAACTGTCATATGCTTCTGACTTTTCGGGGGTGACTGAGCCAGCTAGATTATGTTGTGATTAAATAGAATTACTTGTAAATTTTGAATGTCATTCCCCAAAGATACATCATTTTCAAAGGTGGAAAGTGAAATTCTGTGTGGCACTTGGTACAATTCAGTATCCAATGTAAATCTAGGTAGCTTACTTATATACAGTATCATTTAATTTCATATAATGACAACCATGATATATAGATGCATGCCTATTATTTGACCATGTCTTGATACATTTCAAAATATCCAGATAAAAACTTACCTCCCTGTAGGGTATTTTGGAGGGGAATTTTACTGTGTATGGCTAATGTAATGCTAGTAGAAAGCTGTGTGGGAAAAGTTTTCAATCAGCAATTGGCATCAAAGTGGCTAAATGGCAAGTTTTTCATGCAAAATATTACTCTGCTTGTGTGGTCATTTCTTTTTGTTAAAGGAGCAAGATTGCTAAAGCATTTCATCAAGTTATGAAACGTATAAATGAATGGTGTCTTTGTCCAATTGCAATGACCCTTATTCCAGCACACTTGAAAATGTACAGCTTTGTTTATGAACTATTTGGTTCGAATGTGTCTTTGCATATCACTTTGATGTATGATAAGAGTCCATTGAAAAATAACTTGTTTTGGAATTATTTTAGGATATATTTGCTATCCTGAAATATTTGTACAAAAAATCTGTGTCTAGTTCTTCCAAAAAAGCTCGTGAAGCTTAACAAAAAGAGATCCAACCTAGAATTAAGGAGAAGTGTCCTGTCTGTGAAAATGATTAGTGAAATGGCTTTCCTCAAGAACTTGTGGATGTTCCATCACTGGAAGTTTTTAAGAAGAGATTGGACAATAATTTGTCCAGAACGGTATTGGGTCTCCTGCTTGAGCAGGGGGCTGGATGAGAAGACCTCCAAGGTCCCTTCTGGCTCTATTATTCTGTTAATATTAATAAAGGAATTCATTTAGTCTCTTTAAAATGGGTGTCCAGCTTATGTTGGCTTAAGAGTTGCATTAGGCTTTGTGTGACACATTGAGGACCACACTACTCAAATGGCAAGTTCAGAATGTAGGTGGTCTAATTTTGATTGTGAAATAATAAGTTTGAAATTCTGAATCACTCTCTAGAAGATTCTAGGAGGCTAATGTTTTGAATAACTGAACAGTAATATGTTAAGAGTTGGCTTAGCCCAACACATAATTATATCTAAAATTTTATTTTTATTCTATGCTGCTTTCATTTGTTTTTCCTGTAGTAGTTGACAGATATAAAATACAATAAATTATTCAATTATGGTGTAATTTTTACTACCATTATATAACACACAACATCCCTGACCTAGGAATTGTTTTAATGATGTGGAGAAAATGTGATCAAATCTCAGGGTCTCAGATATCTCAGCGCACAGAATGTACACTTTTCAGGACACATTTCATTAATATGATAGCATAAGATTGTACACCTGTGGTTGTGTTCACACATAGTTTGCCTATTTGTTTATTTTCCGACTTATATACTGCCCAACTTGCCTGGAGGCAACTTTGGGGGGCTTTTATGGTTTATTTATTTAACCATGGTTTATTTAATAACTCACGGTCAAATAATTTGTTATAACATCAGTCATGGGTTATAATACTGAGTGCCTGAATTAATATATGCTAAACCAAAACTAAAGAAACTATCTTTAAGACATACTAAAATGTGTGAGCAAGGTCAGTATATATGCTTTTCAGGATGTAAGAAGCATAACAAAAGGTTTAAGTCTTTAAATTTTTAATTGTTCCAATTGTATTAACAGAAAGACACATATGATAAGACCTTTACACAGCATAACAAATTCTACTCTTAATTTCAGCCCAAAGGCATGTCATTACTTATATGGAAGATGCAGTGAGTCAGCTACTAGAAAGCAAGGAAGATATTGGTCAATATGGCATTGCCAGATTCTTCACTGAATAGTAAGTATATTGCAATCTACCAGTTTCCTTATTTATGGAAAGTGGGGAGATCAATCTGATTCTCCCTCTGATTTTATACTAATGCACTCGTATAATATGTGCTACAACATAACATTTCCATGGTAACAAATACATAGAATAGAATAATGCAAAGATGAAAAAAATTCAACCAACCTAAGCTAAAGTGGAACAATGTATGTATAAATATACATTATGCAAAATTCCAAAGTTGTTATCCAACCAATTAAAAAAAGTTGTTCACAACGATGTGTTTTTTTTTCCTGATTATACAATGCTTACAAATTTGAGGTAAATCTAATTTTTTAGGGAGGCTTTTCCATGATAAGAAATGTCCTCTTGGAGGATTACAAGAAATTTCTCCCAAGCTTTTTTACTGGATATCTTTAGATGGTCCTAAATGAACCCTGATTTCATTTAATAGTATATTCAATTTAAGAAAAGCTTAGCCTAAAGAAACCAACTGATTTTTAATTCCCTAGTATGAGGCTTGCCCAGTCATGTATTTGTTAATATCTCCTAGAATTAGATATACATTTCAGAGAAACTAAGCACAAACAGCTAGGTGGTGTAACCAGACATTAACTGGATTCAATTCAGTAGAAGATATATCAAACATTATTTTATAATAACACACTAGCCAGTCCTAAGTTCTAGATGTGGGAAAAACATTATATTACTGAATTTGATGACTAATCTCATTTTATTGATGGTCTGATATTTCTCTGATCTTCACCAATTTGCCATGTGATAGACTTGATTGTTGTTTTTCCTGTTTTTGAAAACTTCTATATGAATAAAATATTGATCTTTAAGACATCTCCTCCTCTTTTTCTAAAATAGAAGATTATGTGCCATTAAGTTGGTGTCCACTCTTAGCAAACTCAAGATTTTCTTCATGAAGAGTAGCTCATAGAAATATAAAATCTATTTTAATATAGGTAATATGCTGCCAGCTCTATATAGTAGACCAATCAAGAGGCAGATGGTGAGTAAGACTAAAACTAGTTTTAGTGGGATAGGTACAGGAACAAAATCTGGCAAGTCTGAATGTGCTTCCCCTCATCCCTCTTCATATGAATTAGGGGGACACCTGTCTTCCTGAATCCCTATCTTCATATGACTTAAGCCAGGTTTATCTGTTTGATGGGTTGGTAATGGGCCTTCCCTTTTTATTGAAGAATTTTTTACAGAATAAAAATATAAAAAGAAAATAAAGGAAAGTAAAAGAAAAGTGGTGAGAAAAGAATAAAGAAGTGAAAGAAAAAGAGAGAGAAAATAGAAAAACTAAATGTCTTCCAATTTACAGCAGTTACAATGCATAAGTTTTATCATCTTTCCCTCCCTCCCCCCTCCCTCTCTCCCCCCTCCCTCTCTCACCTTATATCATAACTCCTTTTTTCCACAAGCTACATTTTCTAATCATCCAATTTATAAATCACAAGTACATTTTTTTCTATTTTCAGCAAAAAGTCCATAAAGAGTTTCCAGTCATTGACAAACATAAGTTATTTTCTTTTCTCTAATTAAATATGTCAATTTTGCTCTGTTTGTAAATTGGCTTTTTTACCTATCATTCTTCCATTTAGGTACAGTATTTCAGAATCTTTTCATCTTCATGTCGTTACTGTGTAACAAAAAATATATATCCATAAGTCATTTCTAGTTGTTTGTCCATTAGATCCAGCAAGAAAAGCAGATCTTCCCTCTCTCTATCAAAACCATCATTTGTATCAGGCCTGTCCAACACATGGTACATGGGTTTCATACAGCATGTCAAGCAGTCTTATGTGGCTCACCAATGTTTTTTAAAAAGTAAGCCACTGCTGCCACTGTGCCAGAAGTTATGCTGCCAAGTACCTCCAAGCCTCACTGCCATCCACCAGCTCCAGCTAGCTGCGGAACAGCTGAATGGCACTTCAGGTATTTCTTTACAGCCCACAAGTATTTTTCCCCTCAACAAATTGTGCAAATCTGATCTATATTCTACATATATTTGACATACGTACAATCACTTTCTGAGGATATTCTGCTTTAACTTTGAAAAAAAGAAGTCCTAATGAAATAAAATCTGTTATCTGAAAAGGTTAGCATGTTTGGCTTCATGAAGAAAAGATGCAATGAAAAACACAGTGAATACAAACAAGAAAACGTAAACCCGGTCAATTTCTGCTTGATCTTAAAAGTGGAATAATGGGGAATTGAGGGGGGTGAGGTATTTCTCTTTTAAGTCAGGTGGTATGGGAGAGAAATCACAGTTTCTGAGAAGGACAAAGTGGGAAATGCCATGCTGTGTGGGTGGCACAAGTTCTTGTTGTATGGTGAACATTTCTGGAATTCCTAAAATTCCTTGTGGTTCCCAGCAAAATATTCTGCCTAGGCAAAGACAAGAAGTAGCCTGACTTCTAAAAGGTTTTTGTAGGGTTGAATCAAACTATAGATTTTGCAGAATTGTGTGATATTTTCTTCTGCATTTTTAAAAAAGAGTTAATTAGCTGAAGGCAGGTTACAGCTGAAGGCTGACTAACTAGCAATGTTCTTTATTTGTTTTCCATCTCAGAATTGTTATCTGCAAGCTATGTGTTTTATTTTTGAAAAAAGAAACAGAAGCCTACACAATTCCTGCATCTTGATCTATATAGATTAGAATGCAATTTGGACAAAGTGATCTTCAGATGGAAAAGGTTAAGCAGCTTCTCTCTTTCTCCTTTTTTTCTTTTCCAACTGTAGTCTGACTAGATTACTTTGCATAAACAAAGAAAAAAAAAGCCAAGGAACTCTGTACAGTTGGAGCCAGAACACTTCTATCATTTACTTATTTACTCTATTTGTACATCTCCCATTCACAGAGGCTCTGTTGGCTAACATCAACATTGATGAGAAAAAAATAAAAACCCCAATGCACAATATGAATAAAAGCAACATCAAAATAATAAACATAAAAAGCACAAAATAATGTACCCACCAGATTCCAGACTTCATTTACAACAAGCACTTCTCCTGTGCTGGATGGAACAACCAGGTCTAAACTACTGTCCTTAAATCCAAATGGAAATAAGTATACCAGAGTTCTCTGAGAGGAGGAAATTTGTTATTCTGTAATTCTGTTATATTTATGGATGTAGTGATAAAAATACCCAGCACTTCATTCAGAGTCAAAGATGGCATGTCTTTAGATTGGTTAGGTCCAAAAACCCAAAACTACTCTGCCTTGCAGGAATTTAGTTAAAGTCTATCCTCCCACCCCCAATGCTGAAAGTCTTCAGATGATTCAGACTTCTGTGATGAATCACTGATCACTTCCAAAGCTGAAGCCCAGTCATCTTCATTAGCACTGTCCAGCTAGAATCCAATTTTGTTTGAATTTAACTGATTTTATTTGCCAGATGCTCTGAAAATCCTTTACGGTGACCCTTCAGATGTTCTTGAGTACTGTCTTTCTCTAAAAGGAAAATGACATTATGTTTATTTTATTATTTTTAAAATGACAAGGAAATGGAAATGAAGCGAGAGAATGAATGATTTTGGAGTTGTAGGAGACTTTTGAGAATTTCATGATTCCCTGAAATTCCATGGAATCATGACATGAAAACGAATACATGGATCATAGGACTAATTAATTTGTTCTTACTTGAGGCACAAATTACTGTGTTCAAATTATTATACTTTGTCACTTCTCTTTTGAGAAGTCTACAATTCTGGGAAAGGTGGAAAAGGGGAGAAAAAAGAGGATGTCCAGCAGCAAGGTGAATATAATGGTAATAAGAACATCACTGAAGGATTAAGTTGAGGACAGATCTTCATGAAGAAAGTACTGCATATCTATGTGATTGCTAATCAGCTTGATGTCACCTAATCATCAAAAGGAAACAAGTCTTCTTACAAAAAGCCACTAGGCAGCATTCAGAAGTCACAATAAAATGACAAAACACCTCCTTTTTGCCCCTTGAATCACCACTATCCAAGTTCAGATTTGAACTCTTAATCTGACAGGGAAGATATGAGGTGGGACTTTCTTTAGCAATGGCTGTTTCCCTTTCTTCATTTCCCTAAATTCCTCAGGAAACTGAGCAGCTGCAGTGGATCTGTGAGTGGGGAGAGGCTACTCTGGTATAATTGGTTTAATCCCTTAGTTACCCCCTTATTCCTGTGGCCAATCATGATTTTAACCAAACTATCCACAAATCTTCAGGAAACTCCCAAAATACCTTCTGAAAACAACTGGATTCAATAGGTATCTGAAGAAGACTAATCTAAAACATTCTTTTCCATTGTAGAACAAAAAGAGATAATGGTCTATTCATGACAAGGGACTAAACTTGGTTTTCCTCACCTTTCAGATCATGTTGCAAAAACAGTTAATGTGTAATCTCAGTTTGGCTCTATATACTGTAAATAGGGGCAGGTCAATGACTGTCATGGCAGCCATGTATTCCTATGCTGATCCAGACCCTTCACCCTGGGAAGGCACATTGAAGTCTCCCAACCCCGCGGGAGAAAACTCCCATGTTTGCAATTACATTGAATAGCCCTGGGTGAGCAACAGATGGAATGGTACACCATCACCCAGCCCAACTATGCTTTCTGCCTCAACTGCAGAAATAAGACCTCACATCCAGTTATCCATAGAGTAGTGCATCTTGATGCCAGTACAGTCTCATAGATTACAATAATTACAGCTTTCCATATATGCACTGGTACTGATAAAGCTCATATAGGCAAAACTTTGAGATATTAATTCCCCCTCCCCTACCCCCAGATTTTAGTATGAAAGCCAGGTTTCTCTTTAATCCATAATTAAATCATGGGTGGAGATATTTTCCCCCACAGCAGACCTAGCATTCAATAACTTGAGCCAAACCCTTGGGGCTTCAAGGAATCTGGTACCCTGGCTCTTGGAATGAAGAATAAAAAGTTCAGTCAGAAATATCGGTCCTCATTTCCCTGAGTGAAGTCCATTCATTGCCTTTCAAATGCCTTGT